GTCTGAAAGTCGTCCGGGAGTGATTGTTGAACGACTTTCAGACGACTTAACTTTAAGTCGTCTGTGAAGTCTTTTTCTGGACGACTTTCAGACGACTTAAGTTTAAGTCGTCTGAAAGTCGTCCGGGACGTCCGAGAGTGAAGTTAAGTACCTGTCTGCAGATGGCGTCCTTGAAACATCTGCGTTGTCCTAGGCCACCCTTGTAAGCAAGCAACGGTATAGACGGTCTGCTTGACACAGGAAAGCCATAACTGGCACCCAAGTCTGGCATAGCTTCGTACGCCCACACCTGGAGAACCTGTACAAACCCATCAACGGTGTAACCTGTTTGCGTCAAGTCTTTTGCCTTCAAAGAATCCATTAGAACCTTGAACGCCACTCTTCCCCATGGGTAATTCTCAAATCCTTCCAAGTCCATGACTAGCCTTGCAAGACTAGCCCGTGTAGGAGAAGAGAACTTTCTGGCTTCAATGTATCCTGCGTAGATGGCAAGGTATCCCAGCCGCATTCGATCATCCTGAGACCACCCATCACACTTGGTAAATGTTGTTCTTAACTGTTCAATGCTTGGCCCAGCATGGGGATCAACACCCATCTTCTCCCAGAAAGCAGTCATCTCCTGAGAAATCTCAGACCTTGGATTTTCCAAATTCGGGATGTAGTCGCAGTTCAGACCTGTGAGGTTTTCAAACTCTAGAATTGAAAACCTCAAAAGTTCTGGTCCGGCAAGAGTCCAGAGCTCAAACTTCTTCTTGATGTCCAGCTGGAAGGAGAGCATAAAACGTACAAGCCTTGAAGTCCAAACAAAGCCAAGCTCCTTGAACTTGATGAATATTCCTAACTTTAATGCTTTCAGATCCTCATATTCATCAGGTCTGAGATTTTCAGATAGAGCTTCAAACAACTTCTTGTCATCAGAATGATACGAAATGCTCCTCAGTGCAGGGGGGTCTTCTCCTAATGTAAACAACCTCGGCGGCAGTTCTGATATATCCATTTTAAGGTCTGCAAACAATCACAAACAACCATCTCAACCACAAAGGTAGCGCACTATTCTAAATACTATAGAAGACTAGCAGACGACATCCAGGAAGTGAGATAATTACTCAGACGACTTCCTGGAAGTCTTCTACAGAGTCTTACTCTCTGGACGACTTACATGTAAGTCGTCCAGAGAGTAAGATTTCGTAGAAGGCTTCCAAGAAGTGAGAAGACTACTCAGATGACTTCCTGGAAGTCTTCTACAGAGTCTTACTCTCTAGACGACTGAGAGTAAGACTTCGTAGAAGACTTCCAGGAAGTGAGAAGACTACTCAGACGACTTCCTGGAAGTCTTCTACAGAGTCTTACTCTCTGGACGACTTACATGTAAATCGTCCAGAGAGTAAGACTTCGTAGAAGGCTTCCAGGAAGTGAGAAGACTACTATGACGACTTACAGTCGGAGAAGATTTAGTCGGAGAAGATGTGGTCCCTAGCGGTTACAGATCTGCATATCGAAGGGAAAAGAAGAGTCAAGACTACAATTTTTAGGGTTTTCCGGCGGCTAAACGCCTTAAAACATAAGATATAA